AAACAGTTACAATTTATTGAGTTCTAGGCCCTTAACAGTGTGTGTACAGCAGGAGGCAGTATAAACCAAAACTGTTGCTGTTGAGCACATACCGACTCTTGGCAATCCCACATATTACAGAGTAGAACTGAGTTCCATACGGTTTTCTTGGCTGTAATCTTTGCAGAAGCAGATCTCCAGGTCTTTCTTCTGGGGAGCCACTGGAGGGGTTTGTACCGCCAACCTTTCGGTTGGCAGCTGTGTGCAAACCGTTTGTGCCATCCAGTGACCTACAAGGCAGTATAAAACCATACCAAACCAAACCAAACCTGTTGTCATCGAGTCTAACTCATAGCGACCCTATAGAGCAGCTGGTTAATTTAAGGACTCAGGAGTTGGACTGCCTAAAGTTAAATCTCTACTCTGCCCTCTAGCATCTGTGAGACCTTGGGTAAGTCATTTCACCCTACTAAGCCTTAGTTTATCTGTAAAATGGGTGTGGTGATTAATAGTACTTATCTCATAGGATAAGTATACTTTGGACATGTTATCAGTAGGGACAAGTCCCTGGAGAAGGACATCATGCTTGGTAAAGTAGAGGGTCAGCAAAAAAAAAAAAGACCCTCAATGAGATGGACTGACACAGTGGCTGCAACAAGGGACTCAAGCATAACAACGATTGTGAGGATGGTGAAGGACTGGGCAGTGTTTGGTTCTGTTGTACATAGGGTCACTATGAGTCGGAACCAATTCAACACCACCTAACAACAATAGCAACATCTCATAGGATTATTGAGTGAAGAAATAGAGGAGCTAATGTGTGTAGACATTTCATATAGTGTGGGCCCAGAAGCAGCACTAAATATATATATTAGATATTATGGTGCCAAAGATGTTAACATGCCTTACCTACATAACTATATGAAATTCTCAGATTTACCATTATTACCCCCTTTTCACAAATGAGGAAATTGAGGCTTAGAAAGTTTAAGTAACTAGTAACTTGCTAAGCATCACATAGCTAGTAAGTGGAGAAACCGAGGTTTGAGTTTCTGTCTGTACAATACTCTTTCACTTTTAGGCACAAAAGTACGGACAAATAATGAGGTGTTAGGGTTACTTCATGAATCTACTAACTTGGTCATTCACAGCACATTTCCAGTGGGCCTCCCGCTTTCTCCAGCTCATGAGCTCTCTCTCCTTGTCACCAGCCTGGAGCCTGGGGTCGACCCCATTCGTGCTGAGCTAACAGCCCCGGCTCCCTCACCCCCTAACTCACTCCTGGGCACCAGAGCCTTCCACAAAGCTGAGTCATTGCCTTTATTCTTTGGCTGAGGCCCCATGGGGACCCAAGAGAATACTGCACGGCTCTGCTGTCCTGATCCAGGGCACGCACCTCACAGACCCAAGATTCAATGCTTGAACCTCTAGCACATTCTTCCTCACAAAAGAGGTCTCAGACCTTCTCCATCCTTCCTCAAGCCCCCAATTAAATCTACCCACTCTGGGCAGAGGCTCCTCCCAACTGCCGGAATGGGAAAGGTAAAGATGTTGTCTGCAGCATTTGGCAGGGACTGCCCTCCTAAAACCGCTCTCCTACCCACCCGCCCGCCTACTAGTGCCTCTCTGGTTCTCCACCCGCCTCACTGACTTGCTGTCTTGGCCTCCTTAGCCAGCTTCTCTCCCTTCCTAGGACCCCCTTAGGAGCACTCTCCCCAGGAATCTGTCTACACCTGCCCAAAGGTGATCTCTTTCTTGTCTACCATGTCGCGAGCTGGGGCAAATCACTCCTCAATTCCCAGTTGGGATTTCCCAGTTTGTGGACTCACAAGAAGAGGGGAAAAAAGTTTCTCAGACAGAGTCTAGGCCCAGCATGCTTGGTCTTAGCCCAATGAACCAGTCAGCACACTTATCGCAGCCCCTGGGCCTGGGCCCTCTCCCAACTGCTGCTCACTTTGGTCTATTGTCTCCAAAGGGACTGCAGAGGCATCGCTCCCCTACCCATCATTCCTCCCTTCAGCTCAGACCCCAGCAGGGAAGCTCGGGCTCAAAAGGTCAGCAGGTCCCTCCCCTACCCCACCTGCTGAGAAAAGGTCCTGGTGTTCTCCTGGTAACCAAGGGAAACCAGGCCGGCGGCGAGAGGGAGGGAGGTGTGGAAACTTCTGGACCTGTAGGAGGAACTGCAGCCCGAAGGAGCTGGTGATCGGCGGCGTCAGCCTCTCCAAGACTAGAGCCCCCGGGTTTATGACCGCTCTCCTCCGCTACCTACCTACAGCCTCACCCCTCCTTCCCACGGTCCCCGCCTCGCCTCATTTGGACGGATACTCTGGGCCCGACAGTCTGCAGACAGTAGCTGAGGCCGGGGAGGAGGCACGGTCCGCCCCGAATGGGTGGTGGCCTCCCATAGGTACAGACCGGCCCTTCCCCGCCACAGGAAATGTAGGCACGCCAGGCGATGGCCGCCTGCAGGTTCCGGACCTGTGTGGGCTGAGGGCGCGGGTCTTCTCTCTGGGACCGCAGGAGGGCGTGAGTGGGGTCAGGGAGAGGTCAGCCCTATAGGAGGTTGATTGTTCCCTGTCGGGGAGATCGCCTCACCCGCTCGCCTTCACTCCGGCTTCCGCGCGGTCGACAGTCGTTAGGGACGCCCTGCGTCGCCAGGGGGCGGGACGGGACCTCCCCGCCGCAGTGTGCAAGTGTGGGCCTGAGGCCCGGTGTGCACGTTCGTGCTTACGCCCGCGTGTGCACCAGGTTTTGGTGGTGGTCGGTGTAAACGCAGAGGGCTGGTCCTTCGTTATGGTTGCCCCAACGCGCCTTGGCACGTGGCTTGGCGGCCGCAAGGTGACCCAGGCCCTGCCTCAGGACACTTCTGTGTATGTTGGGGCTGCTTTGTGGGTAGTGAGAACTATGTGGCCTTGGGGTGGGTATACTTTGTGTTCTCTGGAGGTGAGGAGTGGGGGCCGGGGCAGAACTCCTGGACTGGAGTGTTTTTTCCTTCTTGGTACCTTTTCAGGGAAAATGGTGGAGTAGGGTGGGAGCAGTGGAGAGACATCCAGGGCACCTGCAGGAGTTACGGAAGCTCCCCTGAGGCCTCCTGTTGACTCCAAACCCTGCAGGAGAGCTGTGGGCTGTGCCGCGCAGTGACGCCTTCCACCTTTCTCCAGGATGCAAACAAGGCTGGTGTCTGGCACAGGAAGGTGCCAGGCCTCCACATTGCTCTTTCACACAGCTCCAAGCCTGGAGCCAATGCCCCCACACTCCCCGCCAGCCCTGAAGTGACAGGATGCGGTGGCTCTGATCTCTTGGAGGGTGGTGGTGACTGGACTTCAGGGGGTTTAAATAGGAAAAATACATTGTCTTTCAGGAGGGGTGAGGCAGCCAGGGAGGTGGAAGGAGTTTCATGTGGAGGCAGAGCTTAGCTTTAATTTAAGCTGGTTACCTTGGCTAAAAGTCCTCGTGGTGAAAGCGGTTAAGCGCTCACCTGCTAACCAACAGGTTGGTGGTTTGAACCCACCGATGGCTCCCTGGGAGAAAGACCTGGCGATCTACTTCTGTAAAGATTACAGCCAAGAAAATCCTATGGAGCAGTTCTTTTTCTTTTTAATTGTGCTTTAGATGAAGGTTTACAAAGCAAATTAGTTTCTCATTAAACAATTAATACACATATTGTTTCGTGACACTGGTTGTCAACCTGATGTGTCAACACGCTCCCCTCCTCCTCCACCTTGGGTTCCCCACTACCAGCTTTCCTGTCCCCTCCTGCCTTCTCGTCCTTGCCCCTGGGCTGGTGTGCCCGTTTAGTCTCGTTTTGTTTTATGGGCCTGTCTAATCTTTGGCTAAAGGGTGAGCCTCAGAAGTGACTTCAGTACTGAGTTAAAAGGGTGCCGGGGGGCACAGTTCTATTCTGCTACGAGTCAGAATCCATGGCACCCAATAACAACCTTGGCTAAGGTGGCATTTCAGAAGCTCGGTTTCCTCATTATAAAACAGAGGTACAACCACCCCTCACCTTGGTTCCCACAGACAGCTTGTAAAGAGTTGGGCCTGTGGTGAGCACCACCGAATGTGGCTATGGCTCCAGTTACCAAGATCCTGAAGTAAAGCTTTGCAACTCCAGAGGGTTGGAGCAAGCAGCCGAGGACCAGGCACCAGGGGTTCCAGTCCCTTCAAGCCCTCATCAAGGATTTACCAACAAATCATCAGTGCCTTAGTTAGAAAGAAGAATTGTGCAAGAAATGAAATCATGCCAGGAGGGTCCGCTCCGCTCTATTCATTTTTACTACATGGCCCCAGAACTTGGTAGCTGGGGTGCCCCTGACTTGAAGATGGGTCCCCTGAGGTCCTTTCATCCAGCAACAGAGACTTGGGAGCAGAGGTGGAGCTCCAGTGTCTGGCTCAGTCTTGGCAGAGAAGACAGGCTTCCCTCCACCCCTCAGCTTCTTGCTCTGAGTTGCCAACTTTAGACTCTTGTTTTCAGCTTCAGCTCAGGCTGGGAGCAGGTGCTATGTAACATGTTTCAAAAAGTAGGACTGGTCTGGCCCCTGCAGTCTCTCTGGCCTCACCACCTATCACTCTCCCAGCTCACTGTGCTCAGTGGCACTAGCCTCCTCAGTCCCACCTCAGGGCCTCTGCACTGGCTGCCCCCTGAGCCGGGAATGATCTTCCCTCAGATATCTGCATGGCTCACACCCTCGCCTCCCAGGTCTCCACTCAGATGCCACCTCCCACACTACTGATCCCCATTCCACTTTTCCACCACAGATCTCATCACCACCTGACATCTTCTTTTTCTTGTTTATTGCCTATTTCCCCCACTACAAGTAAGCTCCTCAGGGGCAGGAATTTTTCTCGGTTTGCTTCTTGCCAGTTCTCAGCAACTGACCAGTACTTGTTGCTCAATTTATCAACAAATCAACACTGCCTTAATTAAAAGAAGTCATTATTAATGACACGAAGTAACTCAGAGAAGGTCTGCTCTGCTGTAATGATTTTTACATGAAAGCTCTGGATCCTGGCAGGCTCTTGGCAATCAGGGGTCTTTGTCGGCCCTGCATACAGAACCTGTCTGAGCACTTGTGGCCGTGAGGGCGGTCCTGATTTGGATCCTGGGTGGCCTTTCAGCCTAGTGTGAGGGGATAGACTGGTGATGGGGCATGCATAACAGGTTGCTGGGAGGGAAAAGTCTGCTTTTTTTAAAAAATAAAAGAATCTTCTAGCTTCCTATCCTGTGTGAAATACTTTTTAATGAGCATTCACAGCCACGACAGCCACCACGTAGGGGTGTGTCTCTGGACCCACTTCCGCCTTCCCCAGTCCCCATCTCCCTGTGTTCAGTCAGGGCCTGCCTCAGGGTGGCCCTCTCTGGCTCAGTTTCTCAGCCTCCAGCCCTCTGCTTCACCCTCTGAGGAGATTCAGCTAGCTCCTCAGGGCTCCTGGCACTGGCATGTCCACTGTCTCTTTGTTCACATCGGCCCCCGGGTGGGCCTGGGTCAGAGCTGGTTGAGGGCATAGGCTCGGGCTGTGCTGAGGGCACTTTCCAGGTCAGCAGTGTTTCCGGTGCCCTGGGCCGCGACTCGAGAGCCCCACGCCTTGCCTCCCATGTGGCTGCACACAGCCAGTGCCCAGGCCTCTGCTGTAAAGGCAGGTGTGACACCCTGGGGACAGAAACAGAAAGGGAAGCAATAGAGCAGCCCTCCCTACCCCTGCAGTCAAGGTACCCTCCAGAATGGAGTGGCAGGTAGTCAGCATCCCTTCCCGAGCCAGGCACACGGTGGAGGAGGTCGGGTAAGGAGACAGGAGAAGGGCTGGACTGCAAGTGTGTATGCAGGTTGATGAATGTCTGCTACTTGTTTGCAAGGGATGTGAGGCCTGGAGAGGAGGGTGGGGTGGGAATTAGGGGATCTCATGCTGCTTGTACCCTGGGGGAGAGTTTTCTGACTGAGAGACTGACCTATCCCTGTCCTGGGCTGTCCTCATAGATCACCTCCACCCAGCCTTAGCTCCCTTGTTGGGAAGGAATAAAAGGTGTGAAGTCAGAGAGCTGCTCTCCCGCTGCCCTCACCTGGGCCACCTGACAGGCACACAGCACATTCCCCAGGGGCCGGGGGCTGAGCAGCAGCACGGATGTGCTGGGGGCCTGCTCACACAGCTGCCGCACCACCTTCACCAGCACCTGGACAGGGAGGACAGACGGCGCACCCCATGGCTTCCCAGACTCCCAACTACCCTTCAGACAGCTCTTCCCCTCCACAGCCCCTGGGGCAGCTCTTCCGCCTCCCCTGCCCCAACACTCACTGACAGGGACTCAGTGGGGACTGTGTCCACAATCAGAGGCCCCTTCATGTGCCGTTCCAGCAGCTCCTGGGTTTTCTTTGCTGCCTGTGGGGCAGGAAGGAAAGCAAAGGGGTGACAGTGGGGGGCAGGTTTTCAATCAACCCCATCTCTGAACTAGGCCCCAGCCCAGCAATGCCCTCCTTTCCTCTTCCCCCTCCCCTAGCCAAGGTCATCAGTTCTGAGCAGAGGTGGCAGGGGCTCTGCCTGGAATGGCCTCCTTTCTTTGGATCCCATCTGGTTCCTTCCTCCCCTTGCTTGCCTCTTCTCTCTCATCATAGCCCCAGGCCCCTACAAATAGGCTGCTGAAGGTGAAAGATGATGCTGGAGCACAGATGGACCGGGAGGGGCGAGAGGAAGGGGGAGCCACAGTCATAGAGCCATTGGGGTTGAATGGTGTTAATCACATCAGTGAAGGCTTCCTGGAGGGAGAGTCTGAGCCACATTTGGAAGATGCGGGAGAGACACAGTTTGGCAGGAAGAGAAGTGGGGAACAGCCTGCTGTGGGCTGGCAGAAGAAGGAGGAAGGCTGCCACCGCCCCCACCCCACCTCCCAGCACAGCCTCTGATTTGTCCCGCATGCCCCAGCCCTTGAGGTTCCTCAGGGAGCAGGTTGGAGGTCTCTGACCCTTGCTTGGTGTACTTGGTATCTGTCCCCCATGATTAGCCACACCTCCTCTTACCTGCCCTGTCTCCAGCTTGCGGATGGCAGTGTTGGCACGCCGCTGCAGCACCTTCAGTGTTGCCTGAAGCTCCCGCCGCTGCCACTGGGGCATCACTGCAGTGTCCACAGCCTATGGCCAGAAGCAGCACATCACCCTTGCCCTTTCCCTAAGCCACAGCCTCTGAGGCAGAGTCCAGCCAGGGCCAGGCAAGATGCCACACCCACCCCATCCCACCCAACAAAGGTCTGGGCCAGCTGGAGTCCAACCCAACTGGAATGGAAGGGTCCAAGGAGGCCTGGGAAGGGAACAGGGCCAAGAGAGGTGGGGGATAGCCCTCACATCAGTGAGTCGTCCTATGTCCTTGGATAGGCGTTGCGCATCCACCACATCCCGGCTGCCCCGACTCAGCCGCTCTGTGACTGCTTTCACCTCCTGGGCTAGGCTCTGGCCCACCTCTCGGGCCTGTGGAGAGGGAACAGGATGGTCAGGGCTGCTAGACTTACACTCATTCCCCCAGAACAGGGGCTCTCAACAGAGGCCAAATGAGAAAGATTAACAATCAGGACCAATCAAAACACTGACCCCAATTAATCATAACAGCTGCCAGCTGCAAACAGCAGGTATGGCCATATCATTGCACATGTACCAACCCTGGTTCTGCTGTTGGGCATTCCTGAGCCTGAGCGAGTCGGCTGTGAGTGTCCCTTGCCCCTCACCGACACCCAACAGGCTCCTGGGCCCTCTGACTTGCTGACCTGCTGGGCCTGCTCCCCAGTGATGGCCATCAGGCGGGTGGTGCCCTTGGCTAGCTGGCGCTCCCCGATGATAACCAGATCCCCCACAGCCCCTGTCCGTAACAGATGACTGTGGGTAGACAGAGGGAAGACGAATTCAGCGGGGATGATGGGAAAGAAAGGAGCAGCCTGAGCCCCAATCCAGGGGCTAGTGGCTCCAACGACCAATGAAGGGTGAGGACCGAGGGCCCCAGGCCAGGGTGAGCAGAAAGGAGTGACTCACGTCCCACAGCACAGCTCCACGGAGGTCTGCAGTGCAACCTGAGAGGCTGGGTCCAGTGCCTGGGCCACAGGCACCCCTACTGACACCACCCGCACCGGGTCTGGGTACACCTAAGGGTGAGGGAGACAGGCCTGGTAACTGGCCTAAGGGGGGCAGGCGATCTCCACCTAGGGGGCTCCCCCGACTCACCTCATCCAGGGAGCGCAGGCCAGGGACGTGTGCAGTGAGTGCCAGGGCCACCTCGTCCATGTACACAGGCTCATCCTTCCCCACAGCCTCCTGTACAGTGTCCTCCACTGCCTGGAGCTGCTGTGGCGTCAGTGGGCCCTGGCAGGGGGTAGGGGAGGGAAGAGGGATAGACCGACAGGCAGTCAGCCCCATGCCTAAAACCGATGATTAAGAAACAGTCAGTGTTTGTTGATGTCTCCCCGGGTTCTAGAACAGGTGTTCCATAAGTATTTGCAGAACAGGCAGTTTTTTCCTTAGAAAGCCACCTGGGAGCTGGGCCCACTGGAAGCTGCAGGCCTTTCCCTAGGCACCGAACGATGGTGAAGAGACAGAAAATGAGGCTGTGTCCTCAGGGAGCTTACGAGAGGGGCAGCCCAGTGGGAGAGAAATACAGGATGCGGGATACAGGAGCAAGGAGCAATCAGGTGGGATGGGGGTTAGTCAGTAAGTGCTTCCTGGAGAAAGGACTTGAGCCAGACATGAAAGAAGGGGAGGGAGACCGGGTGGCAGAGAAGGGAGAGAGCAGCCCCATTTGAGCAAGAATGGCCTGGGTGACACCAGGAACGAGAAAGCTGAGTGGCTGGGGGTGAAGGAGAACCCTGCTGGAGGGCCCTCAGACATCTATACCAGCAGAGCATCAGAGCTGGGAGAGACTTCCGACACAAGCCAGACTGACCCCTTGCTGGTGCAGGACCTGAGGGAAAGGGACTTGCCCAGGGTCCCACCGTGACTAAGCAGCAGCACCCCGCCCGCAATGGCAGACTGCCTCTCTTTAACCTTGTCATCTCACACGAAGCCTGCCTGCCCTGCTCACCTGGGTGGCAACGTCAAAGCGCAGCCGCTCGGGATTGAGATGGGAGCCTCGCTGCTCCGTGCCAGGGCCCAGGGCCTGCCGCAGCGCCCAGTTCAGCAGGTGGGTGGCTGTGTGCTTCTCCATGCAGCCCAGGCGCCAGGTCTGCAACACTTTTGTCACCCAGGGTCCTGGGTGGGGGAGGGGTGGTGGGGAGAGCAAAGGGGCTACAGAATATCAAGAACAGCTGGAGTGGGATACTTACCTTATCCACATGCAGCTGCACCTGGTCCCCCACCTGCAGACACTCAGGGGCCACAGCCTCATGCAGAATGAAGCCACCACAGAGCTGGGCCTGGGCCACTGGGAACAGTACATCCTGGGGGAGGGCCGGGGCCAAGGCACCGGAGTGACTGTTTGTAGCCTTTCCCTCCCAGTGGTTTCTGTCCAGGCTCAGGTCTGCCTCCCGCAGAAGTCAGTGCGCACGCGCGTCTGTGTGTGTGCGTGTGTGTCTCACCTGCTGCTCTGTCCGAACCAGATAGCCACGGTCTGAAGCCTGACCCCCCTGTTCAGCGTAGAAGTTGGTCCTGTCCAAGAGGAGACCACAGCGCTGGCCTCCCCCGACAGAGGTCACAGCGCTCCCGTCCTCTGTGTACAGCTGTAACACCTGGCCCTCACAGGCTCCGAACTCTGCCAGGGCATAGAATGGTTATCAGTGCCAGGCAGGGGATGGGGGCGTCGGGTGAGGGTCAGTGCCATATTTGAGGCCATAGGCATGAAGCTGAGGGGTGGCAGCGACCCCTGGTGGCTACTCTGGGGAATGGGCTGGGCGCAACCGTCCACTCTGATGTCCCTCCCAGTCAAGGTTAGGCAAGCCCGAGGCCACATGCCTTGGTCCCAGCTCTCACCATAACCCCCACTGGGTCGCAGAAAGTAGTTGTACTTAGGGCTGTCATCGGTTGGGGGCACCCCTCGGCGCTGCAGCTCCCCAAGCTCATGGACGTTGAGTCGCAGTCCTTGCTCCTGAGCTGGCTCAGCCTGCTGTGCCCGGCGCTGCAGGACGGGCATTGTGTATATGGAAGAAGGGCATGGGGGTGTAATGGAGCCTGAACCGCCGCAGAGCCCTGTCCCTGTCACATAGCTGTGTGGCCCCTGTAGCTCCTGCTGGGGTAAGACCCCATCAATCTTGCAGGGTCCTCAGGATGAGGCCTTCCTCACCCACTGCTATCCCTGGAGGCCCCTCTAGTATGCTGTGTTGGCCTCTTCCCTTCTGCTCCTGTTTTGCCATTGCTGGCTACTGCTCCTGTCTACAGCCTCTGAGTAGGGCCTGAGGTCCTGGGCAATCTGTCCTGTCACCCCTGTGGGTGCAGGTTCAGACCCTATCTCAGCCTCTTATTTCCCCTCCATGGCTGCAGCTCCTCCCCTGGGAGCTCGGGGCTGGGGAGGAGGCTGACACGAACCCACAGAACCCTGGGTGGGGATCCGGCAGCCTGTACCTGGGCCTCCTCCCGGGCTAGCCGCTCCAGCCCAGCTGAGTCCAGCCGCACACCTTTCTCCTCCAGCATTAGCTCTACCAGGTCCAGGGGAAGCCCCAGGTTCCCAGACAGTGACAAGGACCAGGCCACTTCAGCTTTGTAGAAGGAAGACAAGGGGCATTGAGGAGGGTGGGTGTGGGGCAGAGGAAGGGGGTGGGGGAAGACAGAGAGGGAGAAGGAAGGACCAGGGCTTAGCTTTTCTAACCACAGAAGCCACCAGGTTCCAAGCACAAGTGCCCCTTCCTCACATCAGGGAAGCCCAGCAAAGGGGTCATCTTCAGTCTTCAAGGCCAGAGCTGGGGCTAGCTCAGGTACTCCCTGGGCACCAGTCACTTCACAGAAGGGGGGAACTCAGTGCAGGCACGGGACAGACCTTAGAAAGCAGGGCCTGGAGGCAGGGCTTGCCGGGCAGTGCTCCTGCCACAGTGAGGTTGGCATGTTGGAAGAGCACAGGGAGAGGGGACACTGGGGTGGAGGCAGGGGTAGGGGTGGGTGTGAGGCCAGGCTGGCCCCGAGCTCCTTGCTCATAGAAGCCCCTCATGCTTGGCCAGGTATCCCGCTCACCAGGAAACACGTCAGAAGGCCCCAGGCGCCTCAGGGTCCTGTCAATGATCCGCCGACCTCTCTGCAGGGAGGCCAGGAAGGCTGCCTCGTCCTCCGACACAAGTCTGGCTATCTGAACCAAGGGCAGCGCAGGAGTGGAGCCGAGCCCTCCTTGGAGATGGGGGCGCTCTCTCCTAGCTCTCTCATCAGCACCCTCCCTCTGCCATCAGAGTCCAGTACCTGGGCTGAGTTCTTCTGCAGTTCCGGGTAAGCATCTCCCTGGGGGAAGCAGAGAGGGCTGAGGAGGTGGGAAAGGCAACCAGCCCGATGCCTACCTCCCTATCCTGGGCCTCCCTGAGGACATCTGCCCTGGAGGTTCAGATGGGCTGAGGGACTCGGGGAGGGGCCCAAATGAGGACTTTGTTTCCCTGTAGGGTGGGGATATAGGCAGAAGGGGGCCCCAAGGCAAGAGGCTCAGCAGCCTAGGCAAGGAGGCTTCCTGAAGGCTCCCTGCTTCTTGTAAGCACTTCCAGCTTTCTCAGCCTGCTGACGGCAAACTGGGCTGGATATCTATGGTGGGGAGCCCTGGGTGCCCAGGCTGGGGGTGCTGTCTGGACTAAGCGGAGGATCCTCAAGTGTCCAGGGAGGCCCACAGGAGGAAGGAACTTACTAGTGTCTCCACCACCACAGGCACCAGACTGCCTAGGAAGCCAGGTGGTGCCTGCAAGACTTCTGTAGAGAACCGCACGGCTCGACGGAGAATCCGACGAAGAACCAGCCTAGACGGGTTCAGAGCCCAGGTGTGAACCCTAGTAGCCCCAGTCAGCAGTATGTGGGCTGCAGAGGACAAGGTCCAGAGTGTGCTCTGTCCCGAAGCCTTCTCCCTTTCCCCCATTGCTCCTGCATCTCAACCTGAACCCCCTCTCCACATCCTTCCCTCCTCTCCCCTGTAACCCCAGCAGCTCCTGCCCCTCTGTGTAGCCCTCCCAGACTCACGGGGCACCTGACATCCCAGGGGAGACACCATCGGCAATGCAGACACTAAGTGTGCGGATGTGATCGGCTACCACGCGGTAAGCTGTGTCTGTGTGCCCCTCGTCTGCTGCCCCTACCCGGCCCAGGTAAGGGGGCGCCCCACAGCCCTGGAAAGCAGGAGAGAAGAATATACTACTGCTGGCTTTGCCTGACCTGCCCAGATGGATGCTGTTCATTATACCTGGAGCATCTGCCCTCACCCCAAAGCCAACCACATCCAAAATGACATTGCAGAGTAGCCCTGGGCTGGAGATGCATCAGGGATGAGTGGGAGCCAGACCCTGCCTTCATGGGGCTCATACTCAGCACTACAATGATCATAGCTGTGACCATTTACTGAGTTTCTGCTATCAGAACTGGGTGGGTACTTGGACGACATGATGTTCAGTCCTCAAAGCAGCCCACCCAGGGAGGTATTATTATCCTTGCTTCAAAGAAGAGTAAACTGAGGCTCAGAGGAGCTAAGTGACCTGAGGCCATACAACTCATCAGGAGCAGAGCTGGGATTTGAACCAGGCCTGTCTGATTCCAGATGCTCTCCACTACCCGCTCCTACCTCTACAGCCTTGATGGGGGAGAACCAAACCCAAACCCATTGCTGTCGAGTCGATTCTGACTCATAGCGACCCCACAGGGTTTCCGAGGCCGTAAATCTCTATGGAAGCAGACTGCCCCATCTTTCTCCCATGGAGCCGCTGGTGGTTTCCAACTGCCGACCTTTTGGTTAGCAGTCGATTGCTTTAACCACTGCACCACCAGAGCTCCTTGATGGGGGAGAGGAGGGAGGGAATAAACTGCTTCTAGAAGGGAAGAGGCAGGCTCACCTGGTGTATAGCGTTGAGCAGTGGGGAAAAGAGGTCAGTGTCGTAGGTGGAGTGTCTGCCTTGCAGCACAGCCACCAGCCTTTCCAGGCCCATCCCTGTGTCCACGTGCCGCTGGGGCAGGGGCTGCAGGCTTCCATCTGTCTCTCTGGCCAGGCAAGGTGTGAAAAGTGAGGCCCTACCCAGGAGTACGGGTGGGAGGCAGATGCCAAAGTGGAGTAAGGGAGTGAGGAGGGACCTGAGGGGCACACTGACAGTGGGAGGAATGAGATGGGGGCAGTATCATCCCCTCACAGCCAAGGGCGCATGACAACGGCCTTGGATCCCGTCCTTTTTCATAATGGGCACCTTTTTCTCACCCTCACTCCTGCTCGAACCCTTCCCTGGACCTAGATATCCCCTCCTGGGGCAGAATCCTTTGTCCTTAGAAACATGTCAAGGCTGGAAGAAAATCTTGAAGAGGTCATTTTGTTCAACTCCATCATATCATTACTCTGATACAAGATCAGAGGCCAGAGAGCAGCAGTGACTAGTTTAATTGTCATGGGCAAAGACTAGACTTAAAGTGTTTAGAAATTTGCCTGGCACATAGTAAGCACTATTGAAGTGTCTGTTTTCTAAGCAATGGATCAGTCTCCTGACTGCGGCCTTTTTCACTTCCCAGCCAGGAATTTCCCTCCTGCCTCAGCATCCCATTACCTGTTATGCTGCATGAAGACCAGATTCCAAAGCTCCACCAGCTGAGGGGCTCCTACCCCACCAGCCAGGTCATAGTGGATCTCGGTACAGGGCCCACATGGGCCAGTATCCCCCATCTCCCAGAAGTTCTCTTGTGGCCCAAAGGAAAGCACACGGCTGGCGGGCACTCTGGGGAGAAAGCCAGGCAAATGGTGGGGAGATGGACAGGCCCAGAAGCCCAGGACCCTCTCTGCCATGACCGGCTCTCCTTCAGGTTCAACAAGGGGAGGAACAGGGCTGACCCCATAGTATCCTGGGGTATGCTGAGACTGAGGATGTATGGTGGCAATCTCAATTTCCCAGTCCTCCTGCCCCCTAGGAATAGATAAGGAGGGGGTGGACTTACCCTAAGCTGAGCCAAATGTCCCTGCTCTCCAGATCTGGGTCCAGTCCTGCTTTGGGGTCACCACCGAAGTAGGAGACCCAGAGCCTGTCCTCAGGGATCCTGTAGACTTGGGTCAGCAGTTCCCAAGCCATGCTGCAAGCCTCCTCCTGCAGCAAAAGAGGCATGGGGTGGTGAGAGGAAGGTGGGGGAGAGGAAGGCCCCACTGAAGTGCCAATCAAGCCACACGAGCTCAGTCCTCAGCTTAAGCCAAACCCATCTCAACTGCTTACCTTGTTCCCAGAACAAGCCATGACCATTTCTGCCTCTGAGGTTTTTCCTGCCCGGAAAGCTCCCCCATCTCTTCTAAATCCTATCTTTCAACTCCCAGAACAAGTCCCTCCTTCTCCGGGAAATCCTCTGTCCACCCTAGCCTGGGATGATCGCTAACTCCTGCTTTTTAGCATTACCATTTGACCATTTATTCATACAACAATTATTGACCAGCTATTAGGCAGAAGGCATAGTCCCTGTCCTCAAGGAGTTTACAATCCAATTATGGAAGCACCAGATATTTCTGTTATATACACTTATCTGGCACTTTGCCTCTGTGTCTGGTATGAGGTCCTGCCTAAGAAGACTCTAGAAGAGTTAAGGCAGGACTAACCTTGATCCCATTCGTGACTGACCTCTGACCCTTTCCAAACTCCAGGGCTCCCTGGAGACTCACCTTAAAATATTCACCCCCAAAAGCCCAATTGCCAAGCATCTCAAAGAAGGTGTGATGGGAAAGATCTCGGCCCACGTCCTCCAGGTCATTGTGGCGTCCTCCAGCCCTCACACATTTCTGACTGTTGGCCACACGTCGGAAGCCCGCCATCTCGCTTCGTGGGTCCACGGTGCCCAGGAAGATCGGCTTGAACTGGAAGCACATGAAAGGGGGTGTGTGTTCCACTTACTCAGAAGGGAAAGGTGAGGAGTGGGGACAGGGATGGCTGTTCAGACTGAAGGCTGACTGTGCCCCTGGGACCATACTGTGGTCTGGTCTGGGGTGGGGATGGGAGGCAACCTGCGAGGCTGGGGCACCCATCTCTGGTGTGGGGGGTACCAAACCTGTTGCTGTCGAGTCAACTCTGACTCATAGCGACCCTATAGGACAGAGTAGAACTGCCCCATAGGTGGGTGGATTCGAACTGCTGACCTTTTGGTTAGCAGCGGTAGCTCTTAACCACTATGCCGCCAGGGTTTCCTACCAAACCGGTTGCTGCTGAGTCAATTTCGACTCACAGCGACCCTATATGACAGAACAGAACTGCCCCCTAGGGTTTCCAAGGAGCAGCTGGTGGATTCAAACGGCTGACCTTTTGGTTAGCAGCTGAGCTCTTAACCACTGTGCCAACTGGAGGTGTGTGTGGTACAGAAAGGAGTAAATAAGTCATGAAAACAGAGACCCTCTGCTAGTCAAATAGGCAAGATAAAGGAAGGAATGTGCTGGTGGGTGGGAACAGGGCACTGCATGGCTACATCCTACATCTGTTTCAACACACCCAATAACTTGAGGGTACAAAACTGCGACCACAGGGTTCTGAGCACTCCCTAGAATGTCAGCATTTAGTAGAGATCTTGGGCAGTCTCTAAGGCTAACCTACCCTCCCATTTTACAGATGAGGACAATGAGGTCTAGAGAGGGTAAGTACTTGTTCAAAGTCGATAGCTTAGAGAACAGTGCCTAGCACATAGTAAGTGGTCCATAAACACTTGTTAATGAATGAGTTTATAAATAATGAATAAGTGAAGCCAGACATCCCTCATCAGTCTGTACCCACAGGACTGCACATCTACCACTCCTAGACCTAAAACTCAATCTCAGTCCAGAGGTTCCCAGGTGGAGCCCTTCCCGAACCCTGCCCCCAATCATTTTGCCCAACCACCCAAAAGCTATGAGCTCCGCCCACGGCTTCTTTTGCCCAATCTCGCAGCGCTTTTCATTCCGGAAGATCACAAACTCCGCCCCCAGCTAGCATGGCTCAGCCCCCACCTGGTTCATCCCGGCATTGACGAAAAGCAAGCTGGGGTCGCCGCGGGGCCGCACGGAAGCGGAGGGCACTAGCCGGTGACCATGGCGGTCCCGAAAGAAGCTCACGAAGGCGTCTCGCACGGCCGTGGCCGGGGCTGGAGGGGGCTCGGATGAGAGCGGCCGACGGCTGGGGCCCCGCCATGAGGGCGACCTTCCAAGGGCTCGCTGCAGCCACCCGGCTGCAGCCGCTACCGACGCCACCATCTTAGCTCCGGGCAGCGACTTCGGGGTCAAAGGGCATTGGGGTACAAGGTGACAGTCCTAGGTTTTTCAAGGAAGCCGGGCGTTTCCTACAGCGCCCCCTGTCGGTAGGAGGACTCAGGATAACCTCTGCAGCCCGGTGAAAGTGATTGGGGAGGGGACGCCGGCAGGAGTCGGCCTAGTATGGCTCCTGACATTTGTGGTAGGTGCCGTGCAGTCGATTCCGACTCATAGCGACCCTGTGTACAAGAATGAAACACTGCCCGGCCCTGCACCATCCTCACAGTCGTTGCTATGTTTGAGCCCATTGTTACAGCCCCTGTGGCACGTTAAAAAAAAAAAAAGTTGCAGTCGAAAGAGCCTACTATGTGCTAGGCATTGTCTTAGGCACTTAATAACAAAATTAACAAAAATCCCTGCCTTCTGGAAATCTATATTCTAGCAGTAATTGTTGCTATGCTTATTAATTTTGCAAGGTTACAAATAGAGTTGCAGTGAACAGGTGTGGATTCAGCTGTGTGTGTGTGTGTCACCAGGCTGAGGTGAAAAAGGCAGAGAGTGCCAAGGGACAGAACATCAACCTTCATTCAAGAGTCATTCCACAAATATTTATTGAGTACCTGCTATGTGCCAGGCACTGTTCTAGGCACTTGCCACTTCCCTTTGCCCTTGGCATTGGAGAAGCTCATTTTGTCTTAGAGACTGAAGCAGGTCCTTTGGAGCAGGAATCTAGCAGAGACACAGAAGCTGAACAGCATCTGCTCCGTTATTAATTGCTTAATAACATCTGGTCTCTTAATTTGACTGGGGATTAGAGAGAATCCAGGTCGTCAGGGCAGGACCAAGCTGCTGGCTTATTGTGGCAGAGATTTCTCTCTAAGCTTCCCAATGCCCCAGGGTTTTGTGTGTTTTGCGTTAGTGTAAGAGAGATACCTACTCCACCTTCCCTTTCTGTCTTTCTTTCTATGGTAATGCCATGATCATGAAGCCAACACAGGCCTTGTGGGTGCAGCCAGAGTTCTCGCAGAGCTTCTCATGATGCTCTCTCAGAGGATTTGCCAAGGTTAAAGCACAAATAGGGACAGGAGAGCTGAAGTCAGTATTGTCACCAAGAAGGCCTCAGCTATCCACATGGCTCTTTTGGCCACCATCCTTTCTGAATTATGTTATTTGGGAACTTTTGAAACTCTTTCTTCAAGAAATGTGCAGTCTTTTCTGGACTTGAGTTTCTATAAACCAAACTAAACGCGTTGCTTGCTGTTGAGTCGATTCAAACTCACAGCGACTCTATAGGACTGCCCCATAGGGTTTCCAAGGATAGGCTGGTGGATTCAAACTGCCGACCTTTTGGTTAGCAGCCGAGCTCTTAACCACCGCGCCATCAGGGCTCCTGAGTTTCTATAGCAATAGTGAATTCTCAACTCTGTATTCAGACAGTCCACAGTGTTTATCCCATGATCCTCTGTTTCTCCCCTTGCCCATGTAGATTAAAGTTGTTGTTTTGAAAGTGTGCTTTGCCTGTTTTGGTTTTTCCAGTGTTTTTGGAACAGGAACCTAAAGCCAGATGGGGGATTTCTGTGAGATTGATGATCTTAAGACAAGACTGTGAAATTCTTTCCCAAACTGAGATGAGAGTGTTTTGCCAAAGAAATCTAGCTGGGGCCTCTACCTAGTATAGACATTAACTTTTTCTTTTTTTTTCAGATTTTGCCCAGAAAGTTTTTTCATTATAGTAGGAATGTTATGTTTTCAGACTAACATGAATCTCCACACCATGGGTTTTTTTCTTTTTCCTCTCTTTTTTTTAATTGTGGTGAAAACATACACACCAAAAGCCATGGATTTTTGAGTTGTTTTCTGTTTGAAGTAGGTTTTTTCCCTGTCTTATTAGCTTGTTCTTACCATGGATGAGTCACTCTCTTCTTTTTAATATTTCCCAGTGAAACAAAGTGGTTCTTCTGGGACTGGGATGTATATATTCTGATTTGCCACTGTCATCTGAGAAGGAAGTTCAACTTGAGGTCTATAGCTTCCCAAGATAGATGGTGTCTTAGGCTGGGTTCTCTAGAGAAGCAAAACCAGTAAAGTGTATAAATATATATAGAGAGAGATTTATATCAAGGAGATGGCTCATGCAGTTGTAGAGGCTGGAATGTCCCAAGTCCGTGGGTCAGGATAGAGGCTTCTCCTGATTCACATAGCCACAGGCGCTGGTGAACCCAAGATCAGCAAGTCAGACAGCAGGGTTCTGGCTCACAGGCTGCAAAGATCAATGAATCCCAAGATCAGCAGGCAAGACAGAAGGTAAGCTGCTAGCTCAAGTCTCAAGAACCGGAGGTCAGGCAAACAGGAGCCAGCAGCAGGATCCAGAGCGAGCAAAAGCTCATGAGCCTTGCCAGAAAGTCCACCTATATTCGATGCAGGCCGCATCCCCAAAGGAACTCCCTTTCAACTGATTGGCTACTCACAGCAGATCCCATCATGGAGGTGATCACATTATGTCAAATCTCATCATGGAGGTGATTACATCATTATATGACTGCCAAATTACATCATAACTGCCAAACCACTGAGAATCATGGCCCAGCCAAGTTGACACACAACCTTAACGATCACAGATGGAGACAGAGAGAACTCCTCAGACTGGGCAGTTATTGACCTGGGGACTTCCTTCAGGAGTACTGATTCACTGACTTAGTGTTTGTAGGTGTTTCGTCTTGGGTTTAAAAATGCAAATGGGGTCTGTTTTCTCTGAGCTGTTCAGCTGGGTTTTGTGAGCACCATTTTGGGTGCTGCCTCCATTGTTGGTAAAGAAAGTGGTCCTTTGCCTTCTCTGGGGCTGAGATCTCCCTTATGTTGCCATTTGACCTGGAGATGTGTGAGTGGTGCAGGGGGCTTGTGCTCGACTGGTAGCCTAAAGGTTGCAGTTCCAACCTACCCAGTGGCACTGCAGAAGAAAGGCCTGGTGGTTTGCTTCTGTAAAGATTGTTGATAGTGACCCAATGTGACAGAGTAGAACTGACCCATAGAGTTTTCTAGGCTATAATCTTTGTGGGAACAGATTGCCAGATCTTTTCTCCCATGGAGCCACTGGGTGGGTTCGAATGGCCAACCTTTCAGTTAGCAGCCGAGTGCCAAGAAAATCCTGTGCAGCAGTTCTATTCTACACACATGGGGTTGCCATAAGTTGGAATCGACTCCATGGCAACACGGTTTGGTTTTAGTCTGGCCATTTAACCTATTTATCTTGGCAATTCCAAGGCACCTTATTCTTTGAGTCCCTGCTTTTCACCTTTCCCAAAAGAAGCAGCACCCTTACTCTGGGAGTGCAAATTGTCCTGATTTCCCCAGTGGCTTTGAGAGCAGGAACCCAAAGTCAGTGATGCATTCTGCACTGGACTTATGGTCAGAGGAGAGATTAGGGAATTTTCACTCTTACTGAGCATACGGAACTCAGCTTTGGGGATTTCCTCTTATAAATCACTGAAGCGTTTTTTGTTTTTTGTTTTTTTTAGTGTCTAGGTTAAAAGTTCACTGTCCAAGAAGTGTAGCTGGTTTGCTGCGTTTATTTACGGCATTGTCTCTTCTGGAATGGGAGACAGCAGCGCTTCTCACACTTTAACATGCATAGGGATCTCCTGCGGTCTTGTTAAAATGCAGACATGGATTCATAGGGCTGGGGTGGGGTCGAAATTTTGCATTTCTAGCAGGCTCCCTGGTGGTGCTGTTGCTGCTGCTAGTCTATCAGACCGTACCTTGAGTGACAAGGCTGTATGTAGTAGAGGACTTGGGAGAGCCTGGACTCAAGCTTTAGGAAGCATGCAATCGCGTGGTCCCGGGGCCCTAGGGTTGGGGGCCGCTAGTTCTTCCCTTTCTGTCAGCTGCGGGTGGGTAGAGCCGGGAGCTCGACGTGCGCATGAGCATGCGTGGTCGTCTCCCTCCCGGTGAAGGTGGTGCTGGCGTCTGCCTGTTGCTTAGGGACGCGGAGGTTGCTGCGGACCAGCAGCCCGGAACCGGCTAAGGCTTCAAGACGCGGGGGTGGCCTGGTTCGAGAGGTGCGAGCGCCTCGGATCTGGAATTCAAGAATTAGTGGACTCTCGAGGGTCTCAAGGAGTTTGACCTTAATCCATGAGGACAAGTGCACTAAAAGCCCTTGGAACTAAGTCACTTTGCCTCTTAGCCTCAATTTCTTTATCTGTAAAATGGTGCTTAATGCTCCTGTTCCTTGCTGGAGGCTGCTGTGAGAATTGAATGCCATTCATTCAACAAGCATTTTCCAAGAGTCTACAGGAATTAATAATAATTACTATTTATTGTCAAAGGAGCCCTGGTTGCTCAGTGCTTAAGGCTCAGCTACTTACCGAAAGGTCGGAGGATCGACCCCACCAGTGGCTCCAGGGAGAAAGGTATGGCAGTCTGCTTCTGTAAAGATTACGGCCTTGGAAACCCTATGGGGCAGTTCTACCTTATCCTATAGATAGGGTCGCTATGAGTCAGAATTGACTCCATGGCAATGATTTTTTATTTATTGTCACCACCTGTAAGTTTGTTGTATTGTGGTGGCTTACATGTTGCTGTGATGCTGGATGCTATGTCACTGGTATTTCAGATACTAACGAGGTCATCCATGGTGGCCAGGTTTCAGTGGTGCTTCAGAATAAGTCAGACTAGGAAGAAAGGCCTGGCAATTTACTTCCAAAAATTAGCCAATGAAAACTTTATGGATCATAACAGAACATTGTCCAACTCGTGTGCTTTGAACATGTCATTACCCACGGCTGTCGAGTCGATTCTGACTCTTAGTGACCCTGTAGGACAGAGCAGAACTGCCCCATAAGATTTCCAAGGCTGTAATCTTTATGGAAGCAGACTGCCACATCTTTCTTGCGTGGAGCGGCTGGTGGATTTGAACCACGGACCTTTCGGTTAACAGCTGAGCTCTTAACTACTGCGTCACCAGGGCTCGGGACAAGTCATTAGGAGGAATCAATTGCTGGAGGAGGACATTAT